CATTTTTTTCGAAAAGGCTTAATTTTAGAGCAAAACTCCAAATAACCAATCTGAAAGTTCGTGAAATTTCGTGAGTGACTTGGGCCATGACCCGCAGCAATCCCAAGATGAGGTGGCTTAAAGTGTCAAAATACCTCAAATTCCTGCGCAAATTACCGTTTCGCCGCGATTTCTCGCCAATAACGCGGACCAGGTTGGTAATGTCGCAAAATTGTCTATCCCTATAATGATAGAGCATACCTTTTTCATTCGAAGGACAGTCTCACCCCTTGTGGGGGAGGGTCAACCAGTATTCAACTTTCAAAAATCGTCGAAATCGGCCGTTTCCTTGAAGTAGCGCAAAAATGGGCGGCAAAATGAAAACAAGTAGGTAGCGTTCGTTCCGAGAGTGCATCTACAGGGTGTTCGAAAAGTCCCCTCCCCCCCCCCCCTAACTTTTGACCTAATTGAGGTAGAGATTTGAAACTTGGAGGATGTTCCTAGATTAAAGGGAGCTACTTTTTGACCCCCCCCCCAAAATTTTTGGGGGCCCCATTTTGGGGGGGTTACGGACCCTAACTTTTAATTTTCAAATGGGAAGACCCCCTTTGTGATACCTCGTTCGAAAGAGCATAAAAAAAGAAAATTTTTCGCGCAAACCGGAAGTCATTATCTCAAACCGTTTCAAAATGGCGGCCGGTCAAAGTTCCAAATGGCCGAAAATTGGCACCTCTGCTATTTGCACATGGATTTGCTTGAAACTCGGTATTTAGGGGTATTTTGGCACGATAAAAACGAATTTAACGTTAGATTTTCAAAAAACCCTAGTTTTTCAAAATGGCGACCGGTTTAGGCTCAAAAAGGCCGAAAATTTGACAAACTCGATTTTTTTGCCAATGGATTCACCTGAAATTCAGTATTGGGGGGTATTTTGACCCGAGAATAACGAATTCAACGTTAGATTTTTAAACAAACCCTAATTTTTCAAAATGGCCGCCGATTAAATTTCAAAATGGTCAACAATGGGTAACCTCGACTTTTTGCCGATAGATTCACCTGAAACTCGGTGGAGTAACGTTGAATTCGTTTGTCTCCCACCTAGATACCCTCAAACACCGAGTTTCAGGCGAATCTATCGGCAAAAAGTCGAGGTTGCCAATTGTTGACCATTTTGTACTTTAATCGGCGGCCATTTTGAAAAATTAGGTTTTTTTTAAAAATCTAACGTTGAATTCGTTATTCTCGGGTCAAAATACCCCCCGATACCGAATTTCAGGTGAATCCATTGGCAAAAAAATCGAGTTTGTCAAATTTTCGGCCTTTTTGAGCCTAAACCGGTCGCCATTTTGAAAAACTAGGGTTTTTTGAAAATCTAACGTTAAATTCGTTTTTTTCGTGCCAAAATACCCCAAAATACCGAGTTTCAAGCAAATCCATGTGCAAATAGCAGAGGTGCCAATTTCCGGCCATTTGGAACTTTGACCGGCCGCCATTTTGAAACGGTTTGAGATAATGACTTCCGGTTTGCGCGAAAAATTTTCTTTTTTTATGCTCTTTCGAACGAGGTATCACAAAGGGGGTCTTCCCATTTGAAAATTAAAAGTTAGGGTCCGTAACCCCCCCAAAATGGGGCCCCCAAAAATTTTGGGGGGGGGGTCAAAAAGTAGCTCCCTTTTATCTAGGAACACCCTCCAAGTTTCAAATCTCTACCTCAATTAGGTCAAAAGTTAGAGGGGGGGGAGGGGACTTTTCGAACACCCTGTATGTGACCTTCCGAGGGAGGTGGTACGGGAGAGGGGGCTAAATCCTCCCCTCCCTTGGCCTTCCCCTAATCACGATTAAAGTTAAATAAACGCAAAAAATCCTCTTCATAAGGCAACTTTCAGGACTTGTCATTGACACGCTCGCAATAATATAATTTAACGAGGGGAAGGGGGGCTAAATTGCCGATGGTGTCCTCCCTCCCCAAAAATGTCTGTTTCACTTTCGCTTTGTAAAAGGTCATTGGGAGGTTTTGGCATCATTTCTCAAGCGATCCTGTCAAACTCGAATGCTCTGGTATTGAGCAATTTCCACCTGTGCTCCTCTGGTAGTGGTATTTCCGGTGAAGTTATGTGACCATTGGTCAAAATTTAGCACTGGTGATTTGCCGCTTTTATGGAGGGGTATGGCGTTAAACGCCTTGAACTTCTACAAGGCAGTGGCAAACTCAAATCCATGCTACTGAGGCTTCATGTTGTCATCGCTGCATATATTCTTGAGATAAGCTGGAACCGTAGCAGTCGATTATTAGTAATCAGATTTTTTTAAAGAAAAGTACACACAACCAACAAATTCCTCTAGAAAAGCGATCATTCAGTAGATTGACCAAGAAACTTGAAACTTGGAACAAACTATTGATTTTTCTGAAGTTATGACAATACTTACTTTTTCAATTTAAGAGGAAACTGTTTGTGTTACAACCTAAAAACGTATGTAAATTAAGTAAATCATGGCACGTATCAAGTCCTAACTTACTTGCAACAGAGTTGACATTAATCACTCTTTGATAGATGCCTCTCTTTGTATTGAAAAGCACGTTTTTATTAATGTTATGGGCGTATTGAAGAAGGATCATAAATACACCTGTGTCTCGCAAATGAACTCTGATTGACGAATAGTTCAAGATCTATACATATAGGCCAGCCATTGCACAGATTTCCCCACTCGGGGGTCACCCTTGTCCATTGGATCGAGATGTCGTATTACTGCTGTGAAAACCAGAAATGTCGGAAACAATGCTTTTCTCATAGGAGCATTACTAATTTTTATTAATGAATCATTTTAATTTCTTACTTTTAAATCCTTTGAAACTTTCTGAGTGTCAAAAGGAACGTTTAGACATTAGTGTTTAGGGTTTCCATTTTGCTGAATTTGTGTTTTATTTTCATTTTTACAATTTACTCTTCATCAGCCATTTTTACACACCCAATCTAGACCACAAAATGGCTCGTAGAGCGCTAACTTCAAAATTCGTTTAAAAATATAAAAACGTAAATGCGGCCAAGTCTAAACCCTGAAGACTAATGTCTAAACGTTCTTTTCGACTCTCAAAAAGCTTCAAACAGTTTAAATGTAAGTAATTTAAATGATTCATCAATAAAATTTAGCCTTCTCCTCAAAAAGAAGCATTGATTCCCAGCTTTCTGGTTTTCCCGCCAGCAATACTGACGTCATGCGCAGAAGTTTTTCATTTTCGTTCTGGGAATGACTGACCTATATGAAGAGATCTTGGAATAGTTATCATGATAGTTCGACTCGTAAAAATGCAAAACTATCCCAGTGTTTGCTTAAAATTGGTTTGATTTTGATGGAGCTTGCAAAGTGAAGTCATCTTTCACGCCATCAGCAGAAGTAAACAAGGTACCATCCTCCTCCCTGCCACCTTCCGAGAGAGGTCACATGGATGCACTCTCAGAACAATTGCTACATGTTTTCATTTTGCTGCCCACTTTGATGCATAACGCTACTCCAAGGAAGCAGCCGATCTCGAGGGTTTTCGTAGCGTAGGTACTGCTGGGACCCCTATCCCCCTCCCCCAACGAGCGGTTAGAACGCCCCTCAAATGAAAAATGTATGCTCTGTCATTAAAGGGACAGACGACTTTACGATATTACCGACCTTCACATTACCGAGAGCTGCGACGAAACGGTCATTTGCGTGGGAATTTGAGATATTTTGACATTTTAAGCCCCCCATTTTGGGATTTGCCGCGGGTCATGGCCAAAACCGCTAGAGTGTTGTCTGTAAAAAAATTTTATGAGCTTTCAATTTGGTTATTTGGAGTTTTGCTCTAAAATCAAGCCTTTTCGAGAAAAATGGAAAAATTAACAGATAAGAAGGAATTCTGAGTAATTTTGGGGGGTTTGAGGGAGATATGTACACAGATGCATTTTGCACGGCTTTTTCACAAATGAATAGGGAAAGATAATACAGCTGGACCAGGGAATTATTGAATTAGATCTATTACATCACTGATGCATTTGAAAGTATTAATTTCATCTACAGCGCATGAAAAATTTCGAACCATAAACTACAATAAAATTGAAAGTAAAATGTATCACAATGCATGACAAGTATGAGAGAAAGAAAGAATGTAAAAATAATTGATGAAAGATGGAAAAACAAAAATAAACAAATCGATTATGAATAAACGAGATTGAAGGCTACGTAGGGATTGGCTAATATTAAAGAGGAAACAGGGATATATAAACTAGGAGGCTTACCTACCAATCCAAGCCAGAACAAGAAAATAGAAAAACAGAGATTGGCGGTACAGAGTCTTGCTATGGAGAGTCAAAAAGAGGGAAGTTGAGAAAATGAGAATCGTTATGGCGGACGTTTATGAGTATCGCTAACATTCACTCCATCTTTGGGGGTCGATATCTTGCAAATGGGGCGTCGGATGGGGAAACACTTGAAATCAGTCTCTAAGAAGGATGTAAAGACCCCGTGTTTCAATTTTCAGCCAAATCGAAGGGGGTCTAGTACCGGGCCTGATTGAGTTGTCGTGGAAAGAAAGGAAAAATCACAGAAGGTTCCAAGGCATGACTTTTAATAGTTTTCCCCTTGACTTATGAGGCGTGGTAGCAGCCTGATTGTTGAAATTTTTTGTTTGTCGGGACGACATAGATGACACAGGTTAATAGGCGGAGCGTGATTGGTCGGCTACGTCTAATCGCTGCTTTGTGGTACCTTTGTCAGGTGGAATGGACGACATACTGTTGGAGACTAAAGAGGTACCGTTAGCTTGTCGCGAGTTCAACCCGACATAGGCACGACACAGCAGCAATAAGACATAGCCGACCAGTCATGCTCCGCCTCTTAACCTACGTCATCTATGTAGTCCCGACATACAAAAAATTCCAACAATCAGGCTGCAGGTGGTCTACAGTGCCTTAAACCAAGATGTGTGGTTTTGGGGATTCGCCGTTGCTATGCAATTCTTCAAGGAAAGGAGACTTTGCCTGTGGGAAACTTACTTTCGAATTCGACAGGTTGACCCACGAATCCATCTGGCATTTTTCCAACTTTGATAGCATGGGTATTATAAGCGTAAGATTTGAATGGTGATCCAGGAATCCTTTCACCTCTTATCTTCACATCGATCAAGTGTTCACCTATTTCATTGGCGGTAAAATATGCATATGCCTGCTGTGAACTTTTCGATAGTTTAACTGGTAAAGTCATTCTGGAAGGAGTTGTTATGGTAACATTTACAGCATCAAGAGGAGCATCTGTGTAGATGATGAACGAAGAAAGTTTGTGAACTGGAACCAGATCAAGGGCTTGGCCTGACACTTTCAGCTCTGGAATAAAATTTTAACAATGAGAAAATTAAAGCAATGGAGACTTTGCATGTGTGAGGAATTTGCAATTTGACAACTGATTCTTACGTAAAATTTCGCAAAAAAACACGATGGTCCACTGGTTTTCTCTGAAATCAAATCCCAAGCTCAAAAAAAGCTCTCAAGTTGAGGCCAAAATGGAGTGAATATCCCACCCTACCCTGAGAGTCCACCTCTACATCAAGACAAACTCTCCATGCAAAGATAGGGAGCAAATACATTGACAGGGATGCCACTTTATTTGGGGACTCTAAAACTGAAAACATGGCAACTCTGCTAATGTATTTGTTCATCCCTATCTTTGCATGGAGAGTTTGGCTTGATATAGAGGTGGACTCTCAGGATAGCGTGGGATATTCCCTCCATTTTGGCCTTAACTTTGGAGCTTTTTTCCAGCTTGGGAGTTGATTTCAGAGAAACCCAGTAGCGTCATCGTGTTTCTCGCGAACTTTTACATAAGAATCAACAGTCAAATTGCAAATTCCTCACACATGCAACATCTCCATTGGTAGAAAAAAAAATTATAAAAATATAACTGGAGTCTTCATTTTGTGGATGTGCTACATAGGACCAAACAAATCGCAAAGTATATCTGCAGAAAGCTTTCCTGCCTTCCTTTGGGAATCAGAGAAACTTAGCTACTTCAATACCATGCCTGAGAATTCTTGTGTTGCAAGAAGCAATGCCATGAACTACGCCCCAGAATTCCAGTTTTTCGCTATCCGCTTGAAGTTCTTGCTCCAGCTTCCACAGGCGTCAATCACGCGGAAAACCATGAATTGCTAATTTAACAATTAAATAATTAAAAAATATGTATGACATGTTTCAAATGTACATTTTAGAATACTGCCGTGCTACGCAAAAACCGAAGACATTGAATACGAGGTCTGTTAGATTAGAAACCGGATTTTGGTCATAACTAGCTTACTGTGCGTTCGAATTAGGTTTTCTTAAACTTTTCTGATAGCCGACAACATACTAAAGAACGCTACGTTCACAGATTTTGTTTATTTTGATTAGTGTTTATTCTGTGTCATCTTGAATACGAGGAAGTCAGGTGCGTTTTGCGATTTTCATCATACGATCACAGACAGAGCAAAGATTTAACATTACATTTTGTTTCAAGCTCGGTATACCTTGTACCGAAACTTTTGGTATGCTAAGTAATGTTTACCAAGATCATTATATGAGTTTTTCTCACTATTTTGAGTGGGTTAAACGATTCAAAACTGGTCAGGAGTTCGTTGAAGTTGAGGAGCATGGGAATCGACCATCAACGGCAACTAACATTTGTCACGTGGAAGAAGTGCGGGCAAAAGTCTCGAAAATGGTTGTTTCGAGCTTGCTGAACAGTGTAATATTTCTGAAGGCTCTGTACATACAATTTTGGTAGAATATGTAGACATGCATAGAGTTTCAGAGTACACTTGCCCCTTGATTGTTGTCCGTTGAACAAAATCCAACCAAATGTTAATTTACCTGTAGCTGCTTGAACGTTCTAACAATGATCCTACATTTTTAGATAGGATAATTTTCGGTGATAATACTTGAGTGTACGGCTAAGATACGGAGACGAAACTCCAATCATCCTTGTGGATTGAAAAATTTAGTGCAAGACCGAAAAAAGAGAGACAAGTTCGGTCAAATATAAAAATCGCAAAACACCCATGAGGTTGCCGTACTTGAAGCCACATACCAACGAGGCTAATTAAGATTTTTCAAATCTGTGAACGTAGCGTTCTTTAGTATGTTGTCGGCTATCAGAAAAGTTTAAGAAAACCTAATTCGAACGCACAGTAAGCTAGTTATGACCAAAATCCGGTTTCTAATCTAACAGACCTCGTAGAGTAGACCGTGCACTCCCTATCTCCGCCGTGTCAGCTGAGCGAGGCCACTTCGGCGGGACTCCGTAATGGGCGGGCGGGGTGGGAGCTCGCGACTGAGCCCCACGCAGCATGAGCCGGCGTTGCGCGTACTTGGAAAAATTAGTTGAGCGCTCGGATTTTCGCGAATTACTCGTTTCCACTTCATTTTTCGGCAAAATTTACAAGGACCACATGTTAATGGCATGAAATTTACTATTACTCTGAACAATTTTCGTTTCTCTACAGTCATTACTGACTGGAAAAAACGCTTCATAATTGAAAATATGAGGAAAGTGACCTGCGTATCAGACGGATGTTCTTATAATGCGTGCAGCTTGTAAAGATGCGACGTGGATAAGAAGTAATTTTGTAAAAGGTACAAAAAGGATTTAAAATGAGGTCAATCATATAAATCAAGGGTAAAAACGAGGAATAATGTTATGGATATTGTACATAAAAAGGCATACAAAAGTTACGAGAGAGTTACTTAAAGCTATTGTCTATCTTGATCTAAGAGACAGATTTGATGAAAAGCTGAAAAAGAGGGGCAACGATTTCGGCAGTTTCAAAGTACCAAGATTTAAGATTATTCCACTGAAAAAGATAATGTTCAAGCCTTATTATCAAACTAATTTGCAAGTCGCAACTTAATGTTATTTAATCTGCTCAAAAATTTCAAAATCAATACTTCAGTCACTTGTTTATGACTGGCGATCGTGGATACTGTTTATTTTCAAAAAGTATGGGTAAGTAATTGCTCTTAATTCCTTTGCATTTTTAGGCAGCTCTGTGATTAAGTCGCTGAGCTCGAAAAGGGCACCTCTTTTTAACGATGTTCCAGAATCTAGGTCGCTCATATTTATTTAGATAAGTAGTTTCTAATGGTAAATTTCAAGGATTTTTTTCACAGAAAATTGCAGAATCATGAAAGATAACTCAGTAGAAATTTCAACGAAATCCATGAATTTCCTTCACTGATGAAATATCAGTAGAGATTTTGAACCACCGCAACCAAGAAGTGCCATTCTTGCACCCAGTGCCTCAATTTTTCTGCACATTGCAGTGCAGTGGATTCTATGAAATGAGTTTTTATCATGTTCTTACTTTCCTCTATAAAATTGAAAAAAACACAGCACTTATGCTATGTTTTCAACAAAATGCTGAGGGCATTTACTTAATATTACATTTATCACAAATAAATATCACAAACTGGAACAACACAATTTTGAAATTGATGACAGTAAGTTGACTTCAATTTTCAATGAAGAACTGTTATTTCTGGCTCATTTTAGGAAGAACAAAATGTACCATTAGTTCATGATCCGTTGTTGTGTCGTGTATTAGTTTCCTGTGTAGATAGGTAATAAAACAAATGAACCAAAAATAGTAGTTCCTTAAGGCTAAATGTAGTCAAAGTTTAAAAATTATCATCGGGACATAATCATTCTTGTCTCTTGCCTGGTTCATCAAGAATTTGCTCATGTAAGGATACCATAAATTGAGAGTTGTGTGGTGTTTAATCATGAAAACTAAAACACATCTTCACACAGAAACATTTGATTATAATTAAAGAACACATCAGCCAAAAATATTCGCACCAATCAATTAATAATTAAAGATTTCGGAGCCGAACGGTGCCAACCTCGTTTAAGCGCATTGTTCGTTTACCGAGAGCTGGGGACGGCTGGGGCTCACTCACCTCACCGGTGCCGTTTCGGTGTCCCGCACTCATCGGTCGGTGCGGCATGCGAATGGAAGAGAAGTGGCCACCGCTCCATTTCACAGTGCACGGTCTACTCTATTCAATGTCTTTGGCAAAAACGCCGTAAATCCATCAAGATGTTCCCTTGTTTTTTGGAAATTAACACTTTCTAAAATAAAAGCTGTTTTACCCATGCACCTCAAATTTTCAGGTCAAGTTCTCGATAGTATTTGCAAAAGAATCCTGTAGAAACACTGTCCCAAGGTACACAAGTTTTTCTGCTATGATACATTATTTCCAAAAAATGTAAAATGGCGTTTACGGCGTTTTTGCGTTGCACGGCAGAATAGTAAAGCTAACTTAACCCTGGGAGTAGTTAAATTAGCATTTTTTTATTGTAAAATCTAAATTGAAACATGTCGGGCACTTTTTTTAACTACAAAATTGTTAAAACAGCAATATCATTTTTTCCGTGTGGGTCAAGTATGTAGTATATGTATGCTATTTATTATTGAGAACACTGACTATAATTATAGCATGTTAACCACAGAGTCTGCCTCAGTCGCGGCTTTCAATATTCCTAGTCTGGCAACGGAAAGGATAAAGAATTGACGTTTCCCGATTTTCAGGTGCAATAGCGTATGTTTGTTAATGATCAAAATTATAGCACCTTGAGAGGCGAAAAGTTTTAAGTCATTCCTCGTAAACTCAACCAGATCCGGTGGCCAGTCCTCTCGGATTTGACTGAAAAATATATACGGAGTCTTTACAACATTCCAAGAGACCAATCAAAAGAATTTTCCCCTCCGCCTCTCCGTTCGCGAGATATTCACCCGCAAAAATGAGGTGAATTTTAACGTTACTCAAAAAAGCTACTTTTATGTTCTCGACTTCTCCTTCTTTGACTCTTTATGCTGACTCTCAATACAGATACGTTCCAAAAAATCAATTTAAAACTAAATCAAGTTAATTAATCAAGTTAAATCAATTTATACGTAGATTCTGAATATGTCATTGAAATTGAGTGGAACATAATTTAAAGGGCTGTAACTAGGGGTTTTAAGAAATAATCCACGCTTGGGCCATTCACTGTTTCAACTGAACTTTCCATAATACAATACCTCAGGTTTTTGATACTCTTCTTTCCTTGTGTTCGAGTTTTTCAGCCAAAAATTTTAGCTTGAGCGTACGCACGGTTTTTGAGAAATAGGGGGGGAGGGGGGCAAAGTTGCCAAATCGCCATCATTCTGGACAGCATTTTTACAGCAAAAAGGCGGGAAAAATGGACGAAAAAGTTACATCCTTGATAGGTTTTGGCTGTAAATGTTCTTAATGGGCCCCTTTGCATATGTATAACTGCGTTCAGTTTCAACGATTTCGGCTGCTTAGTGGTC